AGGTCCGCCCCATGTATCATCTTACCTCAAGGCTCAACCGTCTTCTTGGTAGCTTTTCAGTGATGCTACCGAACACGTTGATAGGTCTACTCCTCATGTTGGCGATGACATGGGTACCCTTTCACCATGCTGGCCTGCAGACTTCACCTCGCCGATTCGGGTTACTCAAACCTAGCCATGGCTTATGCTCTMTGGGCCCTCGAAACTACGCTTCGCCTCGCCGACTCGGTCTACATCTTCACTCCGAGGGGGCCCCACTGCTGCTGCCTCAAGGAGACCTGACCGCTTCAAACACGAGTGTGACAACTTTTACCCATGTGGCGCCATCCTGGGCCTTGTCGCATGCGCCTATATCACCTTGGAAAATATTATTCCGTCTCTGTACGAAAACAAATCATTTCCGGCCTGGCCCTGTTGCCCCCTCTTGTCTCAAGTTAGGTTGATTTTGCTTTCCCTCAACTACTACTCATTTTTCAAACCATTCATTTATATATATATATATAGTCAATACATGCAACCAAACCAACCATCGCCAAATATCTTCTTCCATAGAAATCACTCGTCTTCATCCATTTTATATGCCTTGACTCTTGAGATCTGTATTAAGAAAATAGGGACTAGGGTTTCGTTTTCTTTGGTATTAAGAAAATAGGGTTTCAAACCCTTGCTGAAATGAAGTTGTATTGTTTGGTTGATTTATTTACCTGCGCCTCTATCCTATGAATTAATGTTTTATTTAAATTTCAGAACTGAAAGGTTCTCATTTCTCGACGTGGGACAAAAAATTCCAATATCCAGAGAAATTGAGCAATTAACAATTAACTCACTTTTTTTTTCTCCCAATGAATTGATTCCTATTCTGCGGTTGTGGTTCCTTCCCCATCATAAGTAAAGAGAACTGCCGGTGGTAATCAACCCGACCAAGCTAAGCTAACAAGTAAAAATTCATCTCCCCCTTTGAAATTTGATTTTAAATTATTGGATCAGAATGATTCACCTATGTGGTAAATCAAAATTGTTGGCCTGAAAGATCAAGGCTTTTAAAACCAGATCTAACAGGGAATTAACCACAAGGCGGTGATGTCGTTGCTCTAGAAAATAATGACATATCAGTACTATGTTGCAAAAATCAGTGTTCCAGAAAATGATAACATGTTTGGAATCGTTTTTTCATAAAAAATGGTGCTCCAAATCACACCTTGGAAATCAAGAAGGTGTGGTCCGGGGAAATACTGAATTTGACGTTTTCTCGATTTGGACCTCATTGCTGCCAACAATGACATGATGCGGCAGTGACATGGACTTCCTATAATGGGTATCAGTGCTGAAAATAGATATGGAGCACTGGTACCAAACAGAAGGTGTTGTTGTTGCCCCAAGAAATGTCCTACCTGGCAGCAATGTTTCCAAACAAAAAATGGTGCATCCAACCCACACATATACAGCACCGTTTTTCTATGCACCATCGATGCCAAACATATACCAAATATCAAGGTTTTTAAAACCAGATCAGACAAAGAACCATCCTAGGGACTGGTTATGGGGTTGAATGGTCCGACCATCTGGTCTGAACAGACAGACCACTCTGACAAAACAAAAAAAAAGAACAAAAAAACAGCCAAAAACTATTGTCTAATTTGACGGTTCGACCAACCGAGTCAGTGGTTCAATAACCAAATCAACAGTTTTTGTCCAAAAAACGGTTTTGGGGTGAAACGGAACTGATCAGGTGATTGATTCCCAGTTTTCCCAGTCTGACCATCTGTCCCGTCCGGTTTTGAAAACAATGCCAAATATCCCTTCTAAGCCAGCCAATTTTGTTAGCTACATTGCCTATCTAAATTTGTAAAGTAGACATCAGATTGGACCCAAATTTTACAGATGACATATTTAGAAGATGAGTGAGTGAGTAGTTTTGATCTGCCATGAAGCCATTAAGTTGGCTACGTTAAAGACCAAGTGACTCACCCGCAAGGTCAATGAATCAGATTTTGGCCCAACCCAATCTAATTTGATATTAAAAACAATAATCTAGATTCAATCTGATCGATATCCAATACTGGGGCATTTTTGGTAGTAGATTCAACCATCCAAAACCTTATAAGGGCATTCTCAAGCCATGGTTCAACTAAACATAATTTCTCTTCATTGGCCTGTTCTGATTTTAAAATATTGGTTACTATTTAGATGAATGAAAACTGATAAGAACAAGATAACTCATGCAGAATCAATAAGAAATATCTGATCCACCATTCATATATAGTTACCTTATTAGGAAACTACCATACTAGAATTCATACTTTGCTCCGGCCAACTGAACCCAATTATAAATGTTGTGGATTTTTTTCGTACATTTAATGGAAAAAATGAGCTACATTAATATCATCCTCCTTTTTTAAAAGGAGTAGACCTATCAACAAGTCTATGTTTTATTTCTTCAAGTGACCAATTACAACATTAGTACTTCTCATTTTCTTCTCCCAAATGACTCTGACTAGACCTTTTCTTAGTTCAAATAGCTAGACTGAGAAAGTAGTTGATGAAAATAAATGGTGAACCATCAGAAATGCTAAACGCAATGGCAAAACTCAAAAGTAATATATTGTTCAATGAAAATATATTGTTGTATTATAGAACAAATACAACAGGAAGAAATTGTTGGAAAGAGAAAAGTAATTCTTTAAATCATTGGAATGGATAAACTAATGGTTTAAGAGAAAGTACCAGGTATACAGAAGTAACGAAAGAAAAATGGAGCACCAACAGAAACTGACATATATTTGCATAATTGCATAAACTTATGATTCTGATATAGAAAAGAAGAAATAAGGAAGAAAAAAGAAAGAGATTGCATTTCAAAGGAAAGATTGATATCTCAAAATGGAAGAAGCTAAAGTATAGTGGAGAAATGCACCTGTCAAAAAACAAGAGAAGAAAAAGTTGACCCATCCAAAGTAAGAGCATGAACATTAAAGAACAAAGTAGCAGAAGTTGGTAAGCCATCTAATCTAATGTCAACATTTATCCTTGTGTTCTTGTAGGATACTACTCATGGATGCCTAGACCCACTTCAGATACTCTGTAAGCCGATGCCATTGTACATTGCTCACTGAAAGCGAAACAAGAATACTTTGACTCAACAAAATTCTTTGTAAAATTTAAAATATTGTTAAAAATGAGAGAAAAAAAAGATGGAAAGAACAGCGGCATTATCGACGATGGACTTCAACTCAGGTGATGCTGGCAACCCACACAAGAAGAAAGAAGAAACATCATCATCTTTCCTAAGTTTTCATGTGGAGGAATTCCTTCAAAGCTCCTGAAACTACTATTGGGTACAAACTGTAAGTCCAAGGAGATTTTAGACCCTATAATTGAAAGATTCAAGTGTAAATTAGTAGGGTGAAAGAAAGGTTATCCTTCCAAAGGGGGTGAATTGATCTTGGTTTAAAGTCCCTTATCCAATCACCCCATTTATTTTCTATTTCTAAAGTCAGTAACAGCCTCCCTGAAGCGATTCTACTGGGACAGGTTGAGTGATGAAAGAAAATTCCACCTTGTAGCATGCTCTTGTGTTTGCACAAGAATTCGAATATGTGGTATTTTTTTATTTATTTTTTTGAAGAAACCAAATGTGCTACTAAATCTGTTAAAATTAGCCAAATTTAAAAAAAAAATGTTAAACTGAAATTCCACGTAACAGCAGAAGTGACAGCCTAGAATGGATACCCCATATTTTGAAATCACCCCTCTTTTATTAATGTGGTGAATATCAACCCAGTAAGCCTCTTCAACTCCTACCTAACCTTTTTTTTTTTTTGGCTCAAAGTGTCCAATCTTCAAAAATATTCAGGAAATGTGGGGTACTATGTTGGAAGAAGTTCAAGTGGTGCTTTTTAAGGCATGAGAAGAAGGATACCCCTTGTTTATTACTTTGAATTTTTAATGTAGGTTCAATCTATTTTGGTTGAGAGATGTGACAAAATTGGCAGTGCTCTGCTCTGTATGGCATACTCCGTCAAATCCAAATCCAAAGTACTACAGTCATACATATCTTACTAGTGGGCAGGTTGGATGTCAAAGAGTACCACCCCAATCAAGACCAGGAAATAGCTGAGACTGAGAGGTGGATATTTTGTCTTGGATGACTCTATGATGACCCCTACCACTTGCAGAAAATCCAGAATGACTTCGGAAAATTTGCCACTGGGTTTGCACCATTTGATCAATTGGAGGCATTATAGCTAAGAGGTTATACTGATCCCATCTCATGGTGGACAAACTTTGGGTCTGGTACTCCTCTGCTACAACCTCTTGTATTAAGACTACTTTCATAGCCAGCATCATCCTCCTGTTATGGGAGGAACTGGAATGCATACACAAGGATCCCTGATATTAAAAGTAACTCTCTATCTTCTCAAGTTGATGATATTGTATATCTTCATTCAAATCTAAAACTTACCCAACAAGTTTTGAAATGTGGTGGGTGAGGACAATGACATGGAAGACCAACCAGAACTTGGCATTACTAACTTGATCCTAGACTATCCTGTTCTTGAGCCAATAATGTTTTCTGATGAAAACCGAGATTGTGGGATTGAAAATTTAGTGGCAGAAGGTACAGTTGGAATACCAGGATCAGTTGTTGAAGGTGATGAAGAAACAGAATGGGGAATGAATAGAAATGCGATAATACTGATGTTTGTTTCAATGTGCTTGAAATTATTCCAGCATTTCTGATGAAGACATTAGTTACGTGGTGTCACTAACTTGATATGGCTTCACATGTACTGTCTCACATTTAAAAAAGTTTTGGAGGACAGCAGAACAAGAAAAAAAAAGTGAAAGAGAATAACAAATATATTGCAAGGATTAACAAATTAAGATGGGGAAAACTAAGAATGGATGAATAAATAATGAAACCTTAACAGAAACAAATGAAAATAAACCCTAAAAATGAAGGCAAATCCGACTATGTCAAAATACAGAACCTGTTGGCTGTTGTAGGAAGGCAGGAATTGCATGCTATTGAGCAAAAACTATGCAGAGGGAGACCAAGATGTTCTTAATATTAATAATATTTCCAAGAGTATCATACTTAAATATGGTGGATGGATGGCAAGTTTCTTAATTTTAACGATAGAAAATATTTCCAAAAGTGCTTTGATGGAATTGGCTATGGATACATAATTGCACTGGGACTTGATTGAAGCTATATAATTGCACTGGAACTTGATTGAAGCTTGTTTAAGTCGCTAGTGAACCTGGAAAGCTTTATCAAATAAAGAGATTTCAGCTAGAGAAAGTGTGAATCACCGAACTAAGACTCTAAGGCCCCATTTGTTTATCGGTACATAAGAGGGGGAAAATTGGTCAATGGGCATCTCTTTCCCATTGACCAACTTTACATTGTTTAATCCTTTTGCAATAAATATTAGGCCACACGGAAAATTATCTTAGTTTACCTAGTAAATCTTACCCATCCCCCAAGTGGGTAAGTAACTTTCCCAAATGAGCAAAAAGTGTATAAAACATAATAGGACAAGTTTGCCCTTATTTGGGAATCAAAAGAATAAGCAAGTGTTGCTCAGGAAACATTTAATTGAGTAAGTGTATTTGCCCAGGTAAGTGGCAAATTTGTAAATAAACAGGACCTAAGACAAACACGCACTTCATAATAACAAATAAGATTGGGGGTATTATTTACAATAAAAAATCAGGTATTGGGGTAGCTCTTCCCCAAAAATCCATAATAATAAAATACTTGAAAGCCCACTCAGCCATATCTTTATTCTCAACCTAAGTCCTTGTGTCTATCCATCTAGCTAGCCAGTCCATCGCCTGATTGTATGGGAGTACTTGCATTGCAATCTCTCCTCTTACAACCTCTTCTCTTTTAAATGGTTGTGGGTTTATCCACCTATATCCAAGCCAGAAGTCAGAACACTCAAATGAACCAAAATAATCCAGTGAGTTTAAGTGTGCTGAGTCAAATGCTAGACTAGACTATGTTGACCTGAGTTTTCAACCCTCCAATGGTCTTGCTAGAATTTGGACCCAACTAGGTTACAGGAAATAAATCATAAATTTTTTTTGAAAAAAAAAATCATAATTCAACCTCCTCTTCTTGTATTTTAGGGGAATAGCCTAAACCTCTCATGTTATAAACTAAACCGTCGACCACTGTGAGGATCTCATTAACCTTAGTGTTTGACCTGTCCTCTGCCATAAATCTGTGAGTTTCTCCACCGATCTCAACCCAGCTATAGCCAGGATTGGTTTTCAATCTTCTATCTTTCATAAGCTTCCGTACTCTTGCAGCCTGATCCCAGCAACCCACACTGGCATATAGATTTGCCAGTTGCACATGGGTTGCAGCACAGCCCGGTTCCAACAAAAGCCTACTCTCTGCAGCATGAATTCCAATCCAGACGTTCCCATGAAGCCTAGAAGAAGAAAGTAAGGAGCCCCAAATAACAGCATTAGGAAGGATGGGCATCTTCTGGACGAATTCTTGAGCATCTTCAAGCAACCCAGCTCGACCAAGAAGATCCACAATGCATGAGTAATGGTCTAAATCCGGCGTGAGACCAAGTTCAATCATAGAATTGAAGTAAGTTCGACCCTTTTCTACAAGACCTTCATGACGACAAGAAGAGAGAACGCCAAGGAAAGTAATGGCATCGGGTTTGATCTTCTGCTTCACCATTTCTTTGAGGAGGTCGATGGCCTTTTCTGCGAGACCATGTTGAGCAAACCCTGCAATCATTGAATTCCATGAGATGAGATCTCTTCCTTGCATATTCTCAAAAATGTAGAACGCTTCTCCAATGTTCCCACACTTGGAATACATAGAGACCAAAGCATTGCCAATGTGGGTATACGAATGGAAACCCATCTTAATTGTTTGACAATGAGCACTTCTCCCCTTTCCAAGAGAGCCACCACCCATGCAGGCGGTCAGCAAGCTCATTAAGGTGATATCATTGGGTTTTATCGTCAAATGCCTCATTTCATGGTAGAGCCACAGACACATCTCAACCTGACAGTGTTGTGCAAAGCTAGCAATAATAGCTGTCCATGACACAACGTTCCTCACAGGCATTCCCTCAAACATCCGATAAGCATCATCTAATCTCCAACATTTGCCATACAGGGTGACCAAAGAACTACCAACATATACATTCATAACGAATCCAGTTTTGGTTGCTAGAGAATGAAGTTGAATCCCGACGCCTAGAGCCTTTGAAGCCCCACACACACTCAATGCACACGAGAACGCATTAGCACCAACCACTCTCAACCCTTTCTTGTGCATCCGAGAAAACAAAGAAAGAACATCCTTCTCCTTATACAGGGCAAGAGCCCAACATTCAGCACCGGAGTCAAGAATTTCATCGAACGAGTCATGGGTTTTCCTCTCGGCTAGATTAACAGAAGTGGAGCTCTTACCGTCACGCTTTTCCAACAAATCCTGCATGCAAGATTGTAACAGGCGAAGATGGTCGGCATGCCTTTGGGTGGATAGAGAAGATTTTGGATTAACGAGTTCTAAAGATCTCAATGCCTTATACAAGCTCTTGGAGTTAGCCTTGTTTGCCAATTCTTCAGAGGCACAAGAACAAGACGTACGAAATTGGGCTACTACACGCAAAGGCGGAACCCGAACCACCACCACCATAAACGGTCTGCAAGAAGTAGAACGTGACTTGTTCTTGGCACATGTGCGCGCGAGAGCCCAATTCATCGCCCAAGACATCCATGAATCCTTTAGCTTGTTCCTGTAGAGCTTAGAAGTACCATATAGATAAGGCTATACTTTGTTTTTTGATAAGTTGAGGTTACAAAAGAAAGCAAAGCACACGCAGAACTCACAAGAAAAACACTAATTACACAGCCCGGGAGGCTACCCTTCCTACAGCATCAGCTAAACAAATAGAAGAAAGCTGCAAATTTGATCTTGTTTGGACTTGATCTTCACAATGACCAGCCGCAGCTAACAAATCAGCAGCTTGATTGTATTGAACGTTAACGCTGTCTTTCGAAACAATGCAAATGGAGTTCAGTTTAGGGTAAATTTGCACTCTGATTCACTTTTGTCTTTGTTTAACAACATTATATTTATATACTCACAAATGATAATACCAATGCATATTTATATTAATAATAAGATGTAAAAATACATCGATAAAAAAAAAAAAGTAAATGTGTGTTAAGTGGGCTTTTGATAAAAAAAAAATATGTATTTTATTGAAATTCATGCTTGCATCCATTATATGAACGTTTGTCAATACAAAACTAAATCAATTTTAGAATTTATATGAACGTTTCACATTCTACATATTTACATCATTTCCAAACGCAGACACAGTAAAAATGTTTTTCAACCCATGGCCAGACTGGCTAACCTTGCCAATTGCTCATTAGAAAGGCTGGTCTAAAATGGTCAACCCATCAGTCTTTAGTGTCTAATTACGATCATTGTTAAACTAGATGGTTCAATTGGTTGAATGGACTGATAATTAACCTTGGTAACGGCTCAGATAACCCACTAGACCAAACCAGTCAACTCTGTCCATTTAGTGTCTGTCTAGTTGGACCTGTCTAATGTTGGCTACAAATTGAATAGGCCAGTTTGAATTGAAGCTTCAGAGAGAACCGGGTGGTCTAGACCATCAAAGTCCACCACTATGGTGTTTGCTCAATTGGACCGGTTTAATGATGGTTGGAAGTTGAATCAGGTGGTTTGACCAGTTGAAAGAACCAGTAGTCTTGCTAATGAACTGGTTCAACCAATTGAGTTAACCAGTTGTCATTGCCAATGGGCTGCTTTCAACTAGTTGACTGAGCCGGTTGTCTTCGTCACCGGTCGTTGCTATTGTGGCTTGTGATCTAATTTTGTTTAGATATGAATATCACAGTTTAACTCTTTTGGCTTGAATAGTTGCATTACTCATATACGATTAATCTTTTGGTACCAATCCATTTATGTGAGTTCGCATCCTGTAAACCTTTCAATTCGAAATTGGATTAAGTTAAAGTCCATTCGAACACCCATTATAGCCTCGCGTTGGGAATGTCTCCCATGGAGTACGGAGATGTTCCCGATACAAGGCCGAACGAGCCTTGTGTATGAGCTTGGCATCAGTGTTCGCAGGGACACTCATTTTCCTTCATCTCTATGACCATGCCTAGATTTGGAACTCAAGAAATCAACCCAATCAGCGGAAATCTGTACTACAAACAAAGAAGAGAAGGAGAAGAATAATAAGGAGAGGAGGAGGAAGAGATTAAGAGAAAAACTTATCGCTCGTCACTGGTTGCAGGCCGTCGGTTGATTTTTAACGTCAAATGTTGATTGATGTAATCATTGGTGGTCTAGTCACAACATGCCTAGAGAGGAAGTCTAAAGTTTGGGTTTTGTTATTTTTTGTCATTTAGTGGCCGGTTCATTTGATTATACCATTCTTAACGGAGAAATTCCCCCTTAACTCAATAAGTCTGTGTTTGGTTTGAAGGGAAATGTAGGAAAATTTATACAAGATTTGTAAAGGTTTTCTTTTCTTTCCTTTCCTTTCCCTACTTTTTCCTTCAAATCAAACATAACCTTAGGATAAATTACAAAGACCTCCCCCCCCCCGGTACTATGGGGTCTGTGAGAAAGACCCCCCTGTACTTTGTTTTGTGACAAAAACCCTCATTGTACTATGTCCGTAAGACAAGACCCCCTTCTGTTAGAATTCCGTTAGAACCCGCTATTGCAATATTTTTTAACCCCCATACTACCCTTGTAACACTGTCCATCTTCCCCGACCTCACAAACAGCAGTGGCGGTAACTGTTGCAACGGCAACAAACTTCGGAACCTCCCTCTTTCTCCCTCCCTCTCCCTCCCTCTCTCTCTCCCTTGATGAGGAAGCGCGAGTCCAAGCAATCGCGGAGATCGTGAACGACATGGTGGAGCGCTCGCTCAAAGGAGAGAACGTTGATCTAAACGCCCTCAAAGCTTCTATGTTGCCGAAGCTAATTCTCCTTGATGATTTATGCAGGTTCTATGTTGCGAAAGTTCTCCTTGCATTGGAGTATCTACACATGCTTGGGGTTATATATCGAGATGTTAAACCATAAAACATTCTGGTTCGAGAAGATGGTTATATCATGCTCTCAGATTTCGATTTGTCATTGAAATGTGCAATGAATTCTGATGATACTCAATCCGGTCGATCTTAGCTGCTGGTAACCTTGTCTCTGCCGGAGCTGAAGATGCCTGAAGTGTGGGTTCCTTTTGGGGAGCTCGGGCCTCTTCTTGGGATATGGTCGTGCTATGTCACTGTGCTGAGCTGGCGTTCCTGCCAGGTCACCCCGTTTTCTTCCACGTGTCGCACAGTCAAGGGGTCGGGCCGAATCTACCTCCATCAATTGCCCCCCACTCCTCATGCCCGGGGTCTTGACCCAGCGTGGGGAGTTCATGGACTGACGGGTGGATTTGCTCCGTGGCGTGCTTAGTCCAGATTGGAGATTCCCCAGTCTAACCCACCTACGTTCTTGGCTCAACTAGGGTCAGCGTAGCTCGACCAGAGTCAGCTCAAGTCACGTACAGCTCACGCGCGGACATCAAGCGATTTATCAGCTATCGGACGTCAAAAATTCACGCTAAACTGATTTCATCTCGGGGGTCGTGCAGTAGGTTTTCTTGAGAGTTGTTGGATGGCTTTGATCTCGACCGTTGATGCGCGGGTACTTCGGCTATAAATAATGGGGTCCCTGGTCACTTTTCCTTCACCAATATTCAGTGATCGTTTCTTGAGCTCGCGTCCAAGGTCCTCAGCTCGCGTCACTTTCCCTAGTTCGGTAGCGTTCCCTTAGTGAGTCCCCTTAGCCTTTTCAATTTCCTTTCCTTTCCTTTTGCGATGTCTAGTTCGAGTAGTTCGAGTAGCTTAGATAATCTTTTAGAAGGGCCTGAAGCGGAGATCTTGGGTTGGGCTGACTCTTTTGATAGCCTTCTGGATGAGCCCGAGGTAGGGCCTTCAGCCCGGGTCACCCCGGGTAGCCTAGAGTCCACTTCTCGTTGGGTTTGGATGCCGGACACGTTCGGACCCTCCACTATGACGTCTGAGAGACTTCGGTCCCTTGTTCGTCAGTTCAACTTGCCCGGGGAGTATGCATATAGCTTACCTTCGGGCAACTTCCCTTGGGAGCACGGTCCAGATGAGATCGTGGTCTTCCGTGAGCAGCTCATTGCCGGGCTGCGCCTTCCTCTCCACCCCTTAATCGTCGAAGTCTTGAACCACTTTGGTGTCTCAGTCGGTCAGCTTCACCCGAACTCTGTTCGCAACGTCGTCGGGACCATATCCCTTTGCTGCGAATATGTTATTCCTTTGAACTTAGAAATTTTTTCTGCTCTTCTCATGCTCAAAAAACAAGCGAGCTTCCTTCCCGAGCACAGGCAGGCTTACTACCTGTCTCCCCGCCCGGGATTCAAACTTCCAAACAAGGTCCCGGCGTGGAAGCGGGACTACTTCGTGGTGCAAAGTGCTACGGGGTGGTCGTTTCCTACTCATTGGAGGGCGGTTGTCCCTAATCCCAGCATCATGTTAGATAAAGACATGGTGGAGATCTTTCAGTCCTGGGCCCAGGTCGGGCTCGAGTGCGAAGAATACCTCTCAGAAGCTAAGCTTATTCAGGCCGGTCTGAGTCTGGGTAGAGAAGACCCGCGGTGCCAACCTACTTGATGGAATGAAGAGGAGGAAGCGGGTCACCAAGCGTGCTCGCGTGGAGTCTCCTCGGGCCATGGAGTCCGAAGCCCCGAGCCATCCTCCGGTCATCAACTTGGATTCTCCCAAGGAACCTGAGGTGGTGGGGCCTATCCCCGAAGTGGCAACGGAGCCTGGCGTCGCAGAGGCTCGGGAAGCTGAAACTATAGAGGCTTCTTGAACTTCGACAGTGTTTTCCAGCTCAGGGAGCCAAAAGGGGGTTGGCAGTGTGCTGATTCCGAGTTGTGCTCTTCGAAAGAGTCAGAAGGCCATTTATCCAAGCGAGGTCGCGGAATGGTCCAAGCTTCCTCCAGGTCACATTGGCGCACGTGCTACGTCTCATGTCATGGTGGTAAGTTGACGCAGTTTTCCCTTTGTGCTTTTTTCCTTCTTTACTTTCTTGCCGAACTGACTCCTTGCTTGGCAGGCAAACTCCTCCATCCATGCCCTGATTATCCAATCAGAGAGGAACCTGAAGCGGGCACAAACTACCGAAGAGGCTTTGGAATCAGCTCGGGAGCGGGCGCAAACTGCCGAAGAGGCTTTGGGATCAGCTCATGAGCGGGTCCAGCGTCTTGAGGGCAAGACTTCGGCTCAGAGGAGTGAGTTGGAGAGACTCCAAAGGGAGAACGGCACCCTGAGGCTCGTCGTGAAACACCTCGTGACCTCGAAAGGGGGCCTGGAGCACGAGGTGTAATACCTCAAGGCCGACATCAAGGAGAAGTCTAAGATCTTCTTCCAGGCCCTTGAGGACACCAAGGTGAAGGCCGTCAACGACTACATAGCGTCGGAGCACTTCGACGACCTGATGGTGGGCTCATACCGGTGGGGCTTCAAACTGAGCCGGTGGATGATAAGGCACACCTACCCCGAACTTGATATTCGTGCCATCACCACTTCGCGTATTACTCCAGAGATGGCTGCTGTGGCTGACGAAGATCTAGACTCTGACGACGAGGTTGACCCCCAGAGTGTTGCCGAAGTCCCTTCTGAGGGCAAGGGGGATGTAGTCCCGAAGTGATGTGTACCGGGCATGTGAGCCCGAAGTGATATGTATCGAGCCTACGAGCTCATTTTCTTCTCTTTTTTTTTTGAACACTGTAAAGCAAACATTAGTAATGAAATACTTTTTCTGCTTAAGTGTTGTATAACTATTCTCCTTTTGCCAAAGTGACTATATTGCCGAGCTGCATAGAATTAGGTCCCCGAAATGAGGGGATTCCTTGAGGCGGGTTAACATAGTAAGGTTATATGCCCGATCCGTTGTCCACCTAGGTAAAGGAAACATTAGTTCAGTAGGCCTGGCTTGGAGC